GCAGTGTCTCCCGCATCGGTACAGTGCGCTACGTTGGTACCTATGTGTTTTTGACTTGCGCAAGCAGAAAGTAAATTAGGAAAGAAAAATAGGAATGCGTCTGGGTTCAAGAATTCTTCGTCGACATAGCGCATGAATTATAAAATTTGTCAATTTAATGCTCAAATGCTGATCAGAAGGAAAAACTTTTGCAATACGCATTAAAAGTGAAATTTTTGAACGAGGAACTATAGAAATCATTTTTGATGATTTAACTGCCTTCAGTAATGACAGGGTTGCATGCTTCACACTATATAGTGTACTCTAAATGTCGACTTGAAGTGCAGTGGTATACTCCAGATGTCAGCAACTAACGAAGGTTTAGCGAATTAATTAGTTGCAGTTTTGAGAATCAAGGGTGACTTTACGCTTAACGGGTGCAGCTGATCTTGTGACTCCTGCCATTAGTAATACATCTGAACTGAGATCTCTTAATTGTGTCACTGTCAATACGCCATTTTCAGTGAATTTACTGACAGCAGTAATGAGCTGAATTCAAAACTCGGTTAATGAGGCATCTTATTTCCGGCTGTCTCTTTTGCGTGAATAGCTAAGCACGCTTGCTATTGTAGCCAGTTTGCAGAGGAGCGGCGTTTAGAATACGAGGTTTTTAAAATACGGCCTACTGAAATCGGAAGATTTTTCTCCCGTTAGTGTTCGCTGACCCAGGGGATACATACTGACATTTCCCAGCAGAGAGGTAACTGTAAAGCTNATTTGGCAGTATATTTTATATAATGAATATTATTGTAGCTTGCGGTATGAAAATCCCCGATGACATGACTTATAGAAAAGATATAATGCAAGTAATTTAATATATACCATTAAAAATTAAATGATTATGAAATTTATTTTTATCCTTGAATGCTTCGCAAAGGGCATTTTGTTATTTTGTTTGTTTATGATAAGCATAGCCTCCTAATTTTGCGTTGATTTTTCTTAACCTCGCCACATTTGTTTTAGCATATAGCTCCGTAGTAAAAATGTGTGATGCCATTTTATTGATTTTAAAGCAAAATTTGCACAAGCAAGTAATTTTTCGAAAATTCAGTTATCAAAATTTCATAATCACATTCTGCATGTTTTTAAGGCTTTCATTTTACAGAAAGAATCAATAGTGAAACGCAAAACTTTTCACCGTAGATTTAATGGAAGTTTTTTCACAGAAAATGTTTGATTTCTTTGGACAACTGAAACACAGATCACATCGAGATGTATGTATATGAGCAAGTGTCTAATATCCACTTATTGGTTCATGGAATACATCATATTTTTGAAATTTAAATTCAAAAAAATTTTATTGAAATTGTAGTCTGTTCGGAGTTTACATTCTAGCCTGAATTTCATATAACTTGCTGTGTAGACGACGGGACCGAGTTTTCAGAATAATCGACAGGAATTCTAATACATTTATACAAGGGTTAGACAAAATAAGGGAAACACCTCGGGTTACCCTTATTTTAAATCCACAAAATATATTTTGAAACATTAAATCCACGAAATATATTTTAGCATGGTGTAGGTCCTCCTTTTGCGTCAATACAGTCTCAATTCTACGAGGTACTGATTCATACAAATTGTGAAATGTTTGCAAAGGAATTGCAACCCATTATTCAGTTAATACTCCCTTCAGCCTTTTTGAAGACGATGGCGGCGTGAATCGACTCTTGAATTGCATCCCTAAAAATCGACCATAACTGCTCGATAATATTCAGGTCTTGTGATTGTTGTGGCCAAATGAGATGCTCAACTTCATTCGAATGTACCTCGAGCAATTTTTTAACAAATCCAGCTGCATGGAGCGGGGCATTATGATCTTGAAAGACAGTGTTCCGCTCCGGAAACAGTGCTTAAACCATTGGATGAACTTGGTCCTCCAAAATTCCTAAATAGTCTCGGCTGTTGATTCTTCCATGAAGAGAAATCACTGGTCCGCCGGATTTCCATGAAATATCACCCCCACCCCGATAATCACAGATCCCCCAGAATTTTTTACTGTTGGGAGGAGGCAGTCGGGATAAAATGATATTTTTTGCGGTCTCCAAACGTAAACTTGGCTAGAGGTTGGAAATAAGGCAAATGATAATTCGTCAGAGAAAATCACATTTTCCACTGCTCGAGGGACCAATTCTGCAGATTTTACATCACTATAAAAATCCTTTAAAGCATTTGTATATGAAACCAGAGGTTTTCTAATCGCAACTCTTCTATAAAATCATGCAGCCGTGCAGCTCTCGGTGGACAGTCTTTATGGAAACTGAGTTCTCTAAGTGTCATGCATTGAGGTCTGCAGTAAATTTTACAGCCGTGGTCTTTCCATTGTCCCTCATCATTCGATTTAGACACCTTACCATTCGATTCGTCGGTCTCTCTCAGACAAATTTGACTTCCGGCCTGACCTGTTCTTTGCTGAGGACGTTTTTCCTTCTCTTATACATAAGAAGTCATTACTTTCGAGACAGTACGGTACCTCTAGAAACGTCATGCATTCGGGAACTTTCTGTCACACAAGCACCTGCCATGCGGGAGCCAATAATTTGGCCTCTATGATAGTCAGAGAGAGTTGCCATTTACAGGATATTGGTTAGGTTATTGACATAAAAATATACTAATTTTATCTGTGCAAGGCTAAAATATCAATTAGAAGCAACAATAAACGGTAAAACATAGAAAATATGTCACGTTTTTATGGTTTATAACATGTTCAAAAATTCCGATATCAAAATGTCAGGGGTTTCCCATACTTTGTCCAACCCCTGTGTATACATATTTAAACAGATAATATACGGTTTAATAGATATAAATAATTTTGTATACAGCATATAGTGAAATGAGAAGTGATGTTGTGAAACTCTTAAAGGCTCATTACCGAGAACGGAACCCCTTAATAAGATATAAACATAATAAGGCCCTAAAAGACAGTTTGAACGGACGGTATTGCAGTTTCCGCTTCTTCATTACGCCCCGATATTGCGACGTGACTTAGCTGACGTACAATACTGGAGAACAATATTGTACTATATTTATCTATTGCCTGCTCTCTAGAAAGTAACACTGAACACAAAATGCAATAATTCGAGGCAAGCATCAGCATATATGAAGACAATAATGCGCAGGTACGAACAATACGAGTCCCTTTTATATAAAATATTTATATACCAAGAGTCAATACTACGCATCTTAGTGCATCTGAAGGTGACTCATAGTAATATTACTTGATTGCTTGGATCACAAATTCACTGAAAATTTAAAAGCAAAGAAAATAGCCAGCAAATTTTCTTTGCTTGTTTTCTGTTTTCTTTTCTCAGACATGAGAAAACGTTTCGGAGAAATAAAATGACTCATGTAATTAAAGGCGATAAATCAGTAGTACTAAGAGTACTCGTTGTACCATTTCGTATGAGGGATTTAATTTCAATGTATTTACGTTTGCAGTGATTGTTCTTCATCGCAAGATACCGTCGTTCCATTTGAACATATAACTTCTGTACAAACATCTGAGAGTAAAGTCTGCGCAACAAAAACTTGTATATTTGCGTTTCATGTTCATAAATAAATGTATTAGTGCATCACATGTTCATATAAAATCTACACATTTATTTAAGTGAATTAATTGCACATATTAGGCCATGCAGTAGCAGGAAATTTATGAGGGCATTGCAAATGTAACTATAGGCAATGGAAGGACGTCGGAAGGCATTGCCTCTGCACATGAAATGTTATATGTATTATAAAAATATTAAAAATATCGCTACATCTGAGCACAATACTTGCACTCTTTAGTGAGTCCATTAGGGAACATCTGTTCATGCGAGGACATAACACGTGCATCTGATACAAGAATCTGAGGTAAATATTGAGCCTTTCAGTTCAATACCAGCATCTCAAGATGAATTGACGAGCTTCCTTGGCAAAATCTTCGATCACGTGCCCAAAACCCTGCATGATACAGGGCTACAATTTTTGAGTTATTTTCCATGCAGACCAACTGTAAATGGCACGAAAAATCTTTAAAACTAATATATTTTGACAAGGAAGGCGATAACTTACTATTTAACATTCTAACAATCCTAATATCAAGCCAAACACCCAGCAAATATTGCGTCCTCGGTAGCATTAGTAAAATTATTTACTCGGCCTAAAAATTAATTAATTGATAAATTGAACAATTATTTTATCAGTTAATTAAACTAACAACTAACGAACTTACGCCTGAATAAACAGGTTCATTTCAGGTCACGTCTAACCATATTTCGATTGAAAAGAAGAAAAGAGGAACATTAAAAATAGCAGTTTAGTTTTAGATGTGTTTAGTTATAGTTTTAGATTTGTTTCAGCCTCACGAATGGCTGACAGTTTGCTGGCACGGGTTCAGTTCAAGTTTTCAGCGGCGTAGGTTTATGGCTTGCTGCTCCAAGCACCAGACACGCCGGATCTAGACTTAATATTTCATTCGGTTGAAGGAACCTTCATATATCCTAAGCCATGCGTATCTTATCTTGTCCAGTATTCGAAATAACGAATGCGTCGAGCAGGATTAATATGAGTTTGTATTAGGCCGCTGCTGCTGAGGTCCTATAATACGTATATGATCAGTTCACCAGTTTATACCATGATCGCCCAGACGTCAGTTAAATTATATATGTTAGTTAAAATGTGTTTCTTGTTCAGGAGAAAGCTGATGATTTACATATACCTTATCCTTACCTCTATGTAGGCTAGATAAAACGATATTTTACCTAGATTATCCATTTATTTTGTCCAGAAGAAAACTGAGGACTTATCGTTTGTTAGTATCATAGATTATCATTTTATCTTTTCCATGTTAAAACTGATGGTTTATCTGTGTTTTTAGAGAACATAGATTAACCTAGAATGACATTTTGTTAAATACAGGTTAAAACTGAAGACTTTTCTATTTTTTTTTGTCTTCGCTCACAGATTGGATGGGCTAGCACAGTGCAGTGGCGAGCCGGCGACTTCATGTGTCGCCTCATGGCTTTCTTCAGGACATTTGGAGTGTTTTTAAGCGGCTTCCTGCTCACCGTCATCAGTGTGGACCGCTACAGCGCCGTACTGCACCCCTTGACTGTCACATCAGCCAGGATGAGGCTGCGTAAACTCATTTCAGCCGCGTGGATCATGGCAGTAATTTGCTCCCTGCCGCAGGTAACGAGATCCTCGTCAACCGTTAAAAATATTAACAAAATATTTGTTAAAACCAAATAAAATGAATCTAAAATAAGATAAATAGAAAAAATAATAAGTGAAATTAAAAAAATAGAGTGAGTGAGAAATCTTATAAAAGAGGAAAATAGTAAAAATCTAAAAGAAAAACAGGCATCTGGCATGTGGTTGTCAAATTCATATGTCATGAGAGGTTTGCCGAGGACAGTTCAATGACTGGCCAACGGCTAAAATTCAACTAAGCAATTCAAATTTCAAATACGGGATATTTGAGGAAGAAATTTCATTATACTGAGGTATTATAGGAGGCCAAATGGGCAGGTGAAAAGACCAGCGGATATGCGTGACGACTTTAAAAAAAAAACAGGACTGAAAGACGTGAGATATTGTATTTGTCTCGAGAGATTAATTGCATACGTATAAATTGTATTGATAAGTTTTATACGTATAAATTGTATTGAGATATTGCATACGTAAATGTTGTATTGAGATATTGCATACGCTTTCGTAAGACCCCTGAATTGAGTTGCGGAGGTTCATGGTCTTACAAGTGCGTTTGTTGCCTTCAAAACCGCTTGAACATAACCTTGTTGTAGGATCCTTCTCAATTCTCAAAAAAATAAAAAAATAATAAGTCACTCAGGTCGGCTTCTAGCTTGACATTTTGGGGCCATTTTTCTATGTGTAAATTTCGAAGCTGTCACTCTCAATCACTGAGGTGACAAAGTGTTACTTCTGAATTGTGAGACGATTTTGAATGCTGAAGGTCAGACGTGTTTTGAGGAATGAATTTAGTGACATATGATGGCTCATTCTGGTAAACTTTTATCATGAATGCAGGTACGAGTTACCCATGGAAGATGATGAAAAGAAGACTAATGGCCATGAAAAATTTTTCATTAGGTGTTACTCATAAGTCAAAATATTTCAAGGAATAGTAAACTATTTATATTTTACCTGAAGACATGAAACGAACAAATAAGCATGCAAGAGGGAGCTAGTGAGTGCATTGAATTGCCTGTATTAAAGAAACACGTGCTAAATTGAGAAACTAAAACTATACTAAATTGAGGAAAACACGTGCTAAATGAAATAAAGTTCGTATTGCCATTTAAAGAATATTTTTCAAGTGTCGTGCAGCTGACCTTCAACAGCTCTATTCACAGCGACGCAAAACATAAAACGATATTAATTGCATGCTCACAATCTGAGGCCAATCCCTTCAATAATGATCTATTTCAATAGACCTGTGATTTGACGCATACTAGATTTAGTCTTATAAGTTTGGATTCGGTTGAATTTTATGGCGTTTCAAAGACAGATAAAGGAATTACCCAAAATTAGATCTTAGTTTATAGGGAATTACCGGAAAATAAATTTACGTTCCGCCAGAAATTTACACTTAACGCTATATCATACACATCTAGACAACCTCCAAATAAAATTGCGCTTCAGTTAGAAATAAGTTGAGTTTATAGGCTTCTGATAAATTATTTTTTAGTTTTCACCAGCTGTTACCTGAAGTAATTGTTTTCACAGAGATTACCCAATTCTCTCTAGAAAGAATTAAAAGACACTCTAGAATCAAATTCAATCAAACTCCATCATAAACCCTTACTAAAATTAAGAGTGATAACTTAACCGCATAATTTCGATCTAAATGTATGTGGAAGATTACCGACTGCAAAGTCGGTAATCTTCCTAGTGTTGAACGACAATTTATTAATTTCCAAATTTTTTATTTCAAGCTTCTACTGATGGTATTTTTGACGTTAACGATTTACGTACTCTGCATTTTTGAAGACCGTGATCTTCCACGTGGAGAAACACCCCCAGCACCGCTGGTTCGAACAATGCGTCACGTTCAACGCGTTCCCCGACACGAGATACGAGCTTGCGTATAACCTCGGCGTTACCTTCGCTATATACGTGGCCCCGCTGACCACCATCGCATTCTGCTATGGCGCCATCGTTGTGCGTATCTACAGAGTTGGTGGGTACTAATATACATAACAAGGCGATGTTCCTTAATGTTAACAGTAGCATTAATTGAAAATTAAAATCTGCTTGATGTTATCCATAACTACAAGTGTGAAATAACACGAGAAAATGAGAAAAATAATCATAATACAAAATAACAAGAATCATAAAACTTAGTGAGTCACAATACTAACTGGTGAATCAAAAATTAAGCAAAGCTAATCACAATCTTACTAAAAACAGAGTAACGAAGAAGCAATTTTTTGCTGTGCTAGAGAAACCCTGCTGTTAATCAAAGCACTTAATTACTTGCGAATCAAAATTCATGTTAACACAGGGTAAGAAAAGATTCATGTTTTTTATTCTAATTTTTCTTCGGGTTGCGACAACAGATGCCGGCAACGATGCTGTCGTGCTGGGTCGATCTAAAACGCGAACGTTGCTCATGACGAGCGTCATCGTGCTGGCGTTCTTCCTCTGCTGGACGCCGTACAACGTCATGAGTTTGTGGTGAGACTTGGGAACTGAGCAGCGAGGCTGATTGAGCAGAGCAGCCATGAGTGGAAGGCTGTTGAGCAGAGGCCTGTTGAGCACAGGCCTGTTGAGCACAGGCCTGTTGAGCAGAGGCCTGTTGAGCAGAGGCCTGTTGAGCAGAGGCCTGTTGAGCAGAGGCATGTTGACCGTGTGATGCTACAACAGATAGGCAGAGGCATGTTGACCGTGTGATGCTACAACAGATAAGTGAGGGCATGAGTGTGGCAACAGGTGAGGGAACTTTGACTCATGTTTAAGCGAAGTTTATTAAGTATTAAATTGACACGTGTATCTATATATATTTTATTTTATTACCGTAATTTAGTCTTTGCAATTATTTACAGTAAAATATCAGTGGAAGAATTTATTTGTAGTTGTTTGTTTTGCAGTTTCTTTATGAAGGATTTTCGGACTTATTAGTTTTGCTTTAAATTCGATTTTTTTATATGTCAGTGATGACTTTCATCCCCTGCAGGCACCGGACTTTTATGTTAAAAAAGCAGAAAATACCGTCGTCGGTTGCCATTTTTATAAGCTGAATTTAGTGCGTCCATCTCACCGATCGTTTATTTTACGATCCAAAGCGGTTTTTGAAACGAAGCTAGTGCCAAATAAATCCAAATAGGCCGAATAAATGATAGATCTCTTGATCTTGTCCATAAAATATGAAGAAGGCCTCTTGATGGCATTTATTTTTCATTGATTCTCAATGAAACGCCATTGAAGTGGCTGGCGAGTTGCGGATATAATTTTCGTCAAGGGATTCGGGAGCCCGAAAATTATTTATAGCGGCCGAGGGCAATCATAAAGACCCAATTTTTTTCGGAGTAAACATAGAGCTTTTGTTATTGCAAATAGCTCATATTCTCTTATTGGTCCGGACATGTCCGATAACGACATTAATTACAAGACAATATTTATTATTTACTAACCACACTCGACACACACACACACACACNACACACACACACACACACACACACACACACACACACACACACACACACACACACAGAGGAATGAGTGCGACATGGCTCAAAAATCGGTGCACTTTTTGGCATTGCACACTCGGCAGTTTGCCGCGTAAAAAAAAAGATGAATCTGTGCTACGTGCAGAACGTGTGTCGCTATATTTGGACACTATGACCCATCCATTTATCTGAGTGAAAATAATCCCAATCCCCTCCCATTCCCCCGCCCCACCCCCCAGGTACTTCATAGACCCCGTGAGCGCCCAGCAGGTAGACCCGCGGGTTCAGGCCGCGCTTTTTATTTTCGCGGTTGCCAACCCGACGGTGAACCCGCTGGTGTACGGCTACTTCCGGGGCGCCCGTCGCGGTGCCGGCAACACGCCTGGCAACTCGAAGCTGTCACGCAGGATTGTCTACAAGGCGCCGTGAGTGTTGACGGGACTGACATTCTAGACAAGAATTCCGTTGAATAGGATGTCGACACGGCAAAATGTTGGTTGGCAATCTAGAGGATTGTCTACAAATATTGCTGACAGTCCGACTATTTTGACAGTTTTTCTGCTATCCTGCGTCCCTCATTAGGGTATCATGAAACCTTTAGAAGTTGAATATACTACGTGATTAAAATACAGCTGTGTGATTGGTCTAAAGACAATTGGACAGTAGAGATATGTACGTAATTACTTGAATACAGTTAAGACAATTGGACAGTAGAGATACGTAATTACTTGAATGCAGTTAAAATTTTTCAATAATTGTTTTTAATCAATATTTCAACTTAAGTTATTTACATCGAGCCTCATTTACATCAAGTCTCACTCCACACCAGAGGTTTAAAAGATATGTAATGAGGGTGACGAATTTAAATGTACTACTGTGTTTCATGATAACTTCTATTCTGTATTACGATCGCACTTTTTTGGGAGCCCTTGAATAAACATAGGCTAAGGAACAAACAATAATATTGACAAATTTTCCGTCAAGATGATGCGTGAAAAATAATATTTTGGTGTTAAATATATCATTTGACGTGCCCAGGTTCAGGCAGACCCTGGGCATGTGGCGGTGTGCTGGAGGGCATTCCTCGTCCAGCGATCCCAACAATATGGCACTCGTCAGATGCTCGCTGGAAGGTCGGCCCCCGCCGGGTCATTGCGGCTCCCACCCAGCCGTAAAAACGGCGGAAAACTGCGCTCGACATGACGGTGATGCTAGTCCTGTTAACCATGGCCCGGTTAACCGGCCTGTCGTGCCAAGAAATCACCCCAATCCTCCTGCATCAACCGGCAATACCAAAATCTTGAGCTCCTCGAGACACCCGCTGTCTTTCTCGACCCTCACGCCCGGAGATGACCCATACGATGGCACACCTTATGTCATCAAGCTCGGAATACTGCATGTATCTTTCAAAAAATCTTATACGGATTAAGATGAGCTATGTTTGGAACCAATCATTTTAAAAACTATTAACTATTTTTCTTGACTATGACGATGAATTCTAAATCAGTCTGCTACCGTTAAGAATAAAATAAAAGTATCGTCATGTTTTTCGGAGCATATAAAACATTGAATCATCTTTGCGATGATCATTTTGATCTCTCATCAAGGTTTTTAGTACCACTAATTATGAAGGCTTCTTATGGCCAAAGAAAGTAATGAAATATTCATCAGGATTTCAGTTCACTTAGTTACTGAGGTTACAAATCGTCTCGCAAAGTAACGTGACTGTCACCTAAGTTTCAGTTCACTTGACTTAGGTGAACACGTGACTTCTTCTCTTTACGTGTAAAAAGTGACCAATTATTTAAAATAGGCTTGACATATATTTTTAATTTATCTATTGATATTTTGAGAGAGCAGGGAAAATGGTATCAGTCTAGAATTAGTGATAAAGAATAATTATATTTTCACAGCTGTAGAAAGGTGAAATTTTATAAACTGTAAGTTTCATGTTTGTTAGTACTATGTATATCTTAAATATCAATTGTGTAACAATTGTACATGTATATTTATATAAAATGCAGGTTCAATGCTGTAGGAGAATATCAAAAGGTAATTCTAAAAAATGCATATTTTAAGCTGAATTTATTTTGTAAACAACCATTAATGCACAATCGAATGTCTATTTCAAAACCCAGGACGCAAGAGTTTACCTTATCTAGGCTCGTTGGAATCAACCGAATGATTTTTAATAATCGATGGAATATCGTCGCTCATAATTCGGAAGATTGACAGCAAAGAAAACCAATTAATTTTTATTTTTGTAATACGGTGGTTTCGTTCAAGTTTTAATACGCAACAAAGTTAATTACAGGATAACGCTCTTCAGGCTTCATTACTTCTGGCCGCCCGATTGAGGAGGGGATCCAATATTTGCGCTGGTAAATGAGAGATTATTGCGATTAATGTCCCATGTTTGCGATTCGCGGGATCAGGTTAGTACAAAATGTAATTGATGGGCTAGTGAATTTTATGAGTTGATAACGGGAAAGACATTTGCAGGATACGTCGTGTGAACAGATGTCTAATGGATGAAAGATTGTCTAATTATTATATGCATCATGAGAAGAATTTATTGTTAAGGAAGCAGGGAATAATATTCAAAAGTTGATGAATAAAATGATCGATCGCTTTTCACAAGCTGAGGAATCGCCAATAATGGCTCTTAAATTACATAAATTCTTATGTGTCTCTTCTGTGGCCATCATATTGCAAGCCGTTATTGTTAATTTGGTTAATCTGTTCTGACGATGACGACAGCCATGCTATGCATGACTATAGATCATAAGGAAAAAATACTATTTTTCTGATTAGTTAAATTATATTTTGCCACGTTTAAAAAAATTATATTAAATTATATTAAATTATATACAAACTTTTATTAACTAACCAACTAACTACAGATTCAAGAGGATTAGCGAAAATAGATATATCCTGTGTGTTGTACGTTTACTATAATAAAATACAAGTGTCTTATGAGTGTTTTATTTGCAGCAAGAATTGCAAATATCCCAACTGGACAGACTGAAATCTCTGTCCAGACAATTTCATTTTCTTCGTCGAAAAAGATTTGAAGGTTTCCGTCGCGTTTTGTTTAAGTTTAAAAAAAAAGTATCTTATAAACGCTGCTTGTGAGCACCGACGTCAAGAAATGACTTAATTATTTTTCAGTTGGTCTCTTCTTTCAGGATGGAAAAGACGAATAAAAATCGGATACAAAACTGCAATAGCAGAACAAAAAGACAGTTTGTTTATGCAAAATAAATCTGCGCAAGTAGCTTACGCTTCAGCCACTTGCAGACAAATGGGCAACATTAAATGGTAACATGCGTACATGGAAAGAACATCACACGGTGACATACGAACATGGGAAGAGCATCACACGGTGACATGCGAACATGGGAAGAACATTACACGGTGACATGCGAACATGGCAAGAACATCACACGGTGAAATGCGTACATGGGAAGAGCATCACACGGTGACATGCGAACATGGGAAGAGCATCACACGGTGACATGCGTACATGGGATGAACATCACACGGTGACATGCGTACATGGCAAGAACATCACACGGTGACATGCGTACATGGAAAGAGCATCACACGGTGACATGCGTACATGGGAAGAAAATCACACGGTGACATGCGTACATGGAGCATCACACGGCAGCCTGCTTACACGGGACGAGAAATTCCAGTACGAAGAAAAAGTGTTACAAAAAATCTCGTTTAGGTTGAAAGAGGCGCGAAAATTTAAATATATTTTTTTTCCTGAAATCGACTGGTCTAATATGGAGCCGGAATGATGATTGGCTGGCGGCTTCACGACGTTGAAATTGTGGGCGAGCTTCTGGCTTCGGGTAGAAGCTTATGTAAATAGGCCATTTGATGGCCATGCGGGCTAATTCTACTTGGCCCCAGCCTTATCAACTGAATTGATGAGGCCTCAGGACTAATTACCTGTTAACAATCAGAGCCATATTGGCCCCAGCCAACCGCCGGCCAATCATCGGCCAATCCAAACAGACTAGGATATTGGATGGAGATTACGCGGCAGCGAACGTGGGAGGCGATGTCGATCGAACTGTCAAGACTGATTATAGTCGTGAATCAGGTGGGAAAACCATTTGTATTTATAGGTGAAATTTTGCGGAGATGAAAAAAATATTGAGGTTCATAATAACGGCAGGGCATATTGATATATATTGGACTGCAGGAATTGATACTTTTTAATAATTAGCATTTTCTGCAATGTAGTTGCGTTAGGAATTTTTTTTCAAATTAACATCTTAGAGACAGCACATATTTATTATTTTCATTATTAAAAACAAATTGCGTAAAAACCATTTCCCTTGAAGAGAAATTGTACAAAATTGCTCGTACTTCTCAGAAAACTTTGGCAGTCTAGAAAAAACACGTTCATACTGTTGTTTCAACGTAATTTATCTCTGAATTAAATTATGATTTGATTGATATGACAATGGAATGTAATCATCAAATAATCAAGTCAATAACATATCCTTGCATTATGTCTTAGTTTCCCATGAAACTAGTACTAGTACTCAGGGATACTTTGTCATAACACGTCACAACACCAATTAATAAATCAATTTACTTTCTTGGGAAACTGAAAGTTATTTTTTCTTGGATAATGTTCGCAATACAATATCTAATTGCATAACCTTCAAACGATATGCCATCATGAAGCTTTCCGGAAATCGGAAAGTCCTTCTGCATCATACAACGTTGATCAATTTCAGCTGTTAAATTTAGAAACTAGATTTCACGATAGTGGGGTAAATAATGCTTTTACATTTTATCCGGTCACATGGCAATTAAAAAATCACTAATTACATTAACCTAAACTTAAGACTGCAAACTAAAATGTGTCGCTCTATTTTTATACGGATCCTGTGAACATGGTGGGGCAAACAAGAGAGAAAACATCTGCCGAAATTTGTTATTTCATCAAAAATCACAAAGAACAGAAAAAGTATGGTGAGCATTAATCGCCGGGTGCATGATGGCACAACATAGAGTGGTGCAGTGAGATGACATCGCTTGACAAGGTAGCTAACAATTCCCCATGAACACATAGATAAGAAGTTATACAGATAAATGCTCTTTATTGAAGAGGTCATAGGCATCAACTCGATCCGCTATCCTTGTGCCAGTTTTCTATCAGGCAAGTTTTTATTAAGTACTTTTTAAGAGGCACGAACCAACATCACTGTGATGGCATGCGCCCGTTTCGTATTTAGTTCAACAGGAAACATAATATGTTACTAAAGCTTGATTATTTGAATTAATTTCTCGACTCGTATTTTGTAATTATAAGCGAGAAAATATCCTCTGAACTACAATTTATTTTACATTTAGGAGTCACACAAATATTTGTAGAGTCTGAAAATCACACAGAAATCGCAGTTTTTGTCTGGCAAGACGCGAGCAAAAAGTTCCGTTGAATTTCAATTTGTTTCACATTGCAGTATTGCACGAATATTTACGTAGTCTTTAAATATCACTGAAACTGTATATTTCGGTTCGTTATAGTTAATTGACAGATTCTTGCGATGGATGACTGGTGCCTGACTGGCGGAGTAGCGTTGGCATAACAACTTTGAGTTTCGAACCCAATAATAATTCGATAGTTAATCTGTGTGTCACCATATATAAGGAAAACACTGTTGTCACTATAATTATCGGGAACAGTTTTTGATCTATGTCAATCAATCCATCCGAGAAAAATTTTCAATTTGTGTCTCCATTTACGCGTGGAACAATTTCGTCATCATGAATACAGGAAAAAGTTTTCAACCCAATTGTTTTTAATTAATAATATGCGCGCTTTCATTCAAAATTTCAGCGATACAATCCTTAACGATTGTACAGGGTCCTCCAAAAAAACCTCCCTGATTTCGATAGGCTTTTGCAAAAATTATACGACACATACAAAACAATTAATTTTATTTGTGAATAGTATATTTGATGCCATTTTACATCACTTACTGCACTTTACTTGGTTTTGAAAATTATGTTCGATAAATGATGTCCCCCATTGTTAAGACATTCACGAAGTCTTTCCCTGAAGTTGCCCATAGTTCTTCGTGTAAATTCGATTGGAATGGCTGCCACTTCCTGCCTAATGGCATGTTTTAGTTCTTGCAGAAAACCAAGTAAAATGCACTAAGTGATGTAAAATGGCATCAAATATACTATTCACAAATAAAATTAATTGTTTTGTATGTGTCATGTGATTTTAGCAAAAGCCTATTGAAATCAGGGAGGTTTTTTTGGAGGACCCTGTATAAGGCGTTGAATTGGCCAGTGGAGTACCGAAAGTCAGATAAACGTTACATTACTTTGGTTTGGCCTCATGAAAAACCGAATTACTAGTGAGTAATTGGTACCAAAAAAGAGCGGGTA